ATAACCAGCAAATTTGTATTATTATAATACACCACCAGTGGCACCAGTGCTTAAGCAATTAAATTGGATTTGCACAATTTAATATAATATTATTTCCGTTGTTATAATTTAATATTATGCAAAACGACTGGAAAAAATAATTTTTAATCGTGTAAATTATATTAAAAATTTACGAGGTTTACATCTCGAGTCGCCAGAGGAGAGGCGCAAATCATCCGAGAGAATAAACAAAACAAGTTATATACAAAAGTGCTCTTTTAATCTACACTGAAAAAAATAAGCTGTTGAAACAACAAAAAAAATATTAATTCAACTCTTTATGCACTTTAAATACAAGCAATGGTTTTTGCACGTTTACTTAACCATCTAAAAATGTCAAATTGTATTGTTTAATTGAACAACAAATAACAGTCAAATGAACAAAATAAGAATATTTGTTCTAATCTGCTAATTTGGTTAATTTAACATTCTTAGGGTGTTAAGGTAAATTTCTTGAAATGTCCAGGTAACCTTTTTAGCATATTCACTTAACACCAATAAAATGTTAAATTAACATTCTGAAAATGTAAAATTCTTTAAAGGTTGGTATCCAAAACAAAATTATGGAAATAATATATTATTATATATAAATAGAAAGAATTGAACCTTCACCTCGCCCGAAGTTTTTGTTTTGAGCGTGTTCCACCCATGATACATCTTTGTATCATGTGTTCCACCTACTTCAAATACCGACAGACTGTTTCGCCCTGTATTGAGGGTCTTAACAGTGTCGGGCAATATGGTGTAGTGAAAGTTCTACTGTGGAACACACCTTAAACAAACAGATATCTCATCTTATATACACCTAATCGTAAGCTAACTAAGGCGAGATGTAAGAAAACGTCATTGTCTAATGACGTGGCGTGAGTGTTCGAAGCGCCATTCTCGGCAATTTTATGAATGCAAATTTTACATTTTAAATTTTAAAGTAACATTTTAAATTTGTTAAATGAACAAATTTAAAGTTTTGGATTAAAGAGCAACTAAACGTTAATTTAATAGTTTTTTTAGGTAATCCTAAAAATTTCAGTAGTTGATTCAACAAATTCCAGCTATTAAATCAAAGTACGATAAACATTTTAATTCAAAATATTAGTTTATGTTAAATTAATATTTAAACTGTCAAATGAACAAATAAACTTTGACAAACTCTGACTTTTGCTTTAACACCAAAATATAGATTAATCCAATAGGTTTTTTGTTGAAACAACATTTTTAAAAATGACATTTAGGCAAATGTTAACTCAACTACATTATTTTTTTCGGTGTATGTAAAATTGTCCGCTAAATCCAAAAATGTCGTCAAAAGTTATAAAAGTAAAAAGATTTTGAGATATAGTCAATTTTTCATATAATATGGAATTGACTATATTAAAATCTGCTCTACTTTCATAATTTTTGACGGACTTTTTGGATTGGCTGTTAAATGTCCGGGATACAAATTGCTGTGGGCTACAGTTATTAGCGACTTCACTTTAAAAACTAGTCATCCGAAAATATCATCAAAAATAATGAGCAGTTTTTGAGATATAGTCAATTCCATATTAAATGGAAAATTTACTATATCTCAAAAAACAGTTTTACTTTTTTAACTTTTGACGAAATTTTCAGATTCAGGGGACAATTTTACATAAGAATTGGCTGTTAAATTTTTGGATGCCATGGTATTCCTACAAGTGAAAAAGCAGCCAATAATAACTCTTAAATTAGTCGTTTTTGACTAATTAATTTTTAGAGAGTACTCTCTTAAAATGAAATAGTCAAAATTTGAATTAGTGCCAGCATTGCTTACTAATAAAATAGTCGTTTTTACTTTGAAATAGTTATTTTTACTACTTAAGTAGTAAAAGTTTAATTAATCTAAGATAAGCATCTTTGACTGTTTCTGAATGTAAAAATTAAATAATTTCTTTAATCGTTTTTAATTCTTGCGGCCAACAACAAATTATTGTTAGAGTTAAATGGTAAAAGGTTTTTTTAAATTTATTTTTTTATAAAGTCAAATATCGGGTTTTCTGGTGGACTGGACAAAATTGCGCATTGCGTGAATTTAAGAATTGTCAACAATACATTTAAAGCATACGAACTGTACATCATTTTTAAATAAATAGGTAGTTTTTTCACTAAAGAGAGGAAGGCAGAAGTCTTACTCGACAAATTTTGTTCAATTGCACAGATAATCTTGTGTTTTACGTTGCAAGGAAAAAACTAAAAAACTGTTTTAGTACTCCATTGATTTTTTATTTTATTGATTAAGAAACTCAACGCTTAAATGCTTATATACACACATCGGAAAAGTCTAGGGATATTTTTATAAATTGATGTATTTTTTTTCTAACTTAATATAAAAAAAAACAATAAATGTTTAGTATAAGTAAGTGTTTATTATTACATAAAATTAAATATTTTGTTAAAAAATAACCCCAAGATTTATAAAAAAAAAATATTGTGTAAAGCACTATTTTTAGAGTTTTGTAAAAACTCCCGAGTAAATAAAAAAAAACTGTTTAGTACAAAGTATGACCTCCACGTTGGTTTATTACTGCTGTACATCTATTGTTCATAGACAAAATAAGATTGTCAATATCCCCTTGAGGTAAACGTGCCCACTCTGCTGTCAGAAGCTCCCTAAATCGAAACGCATTGTGAATGTTGTCCATATGTGGAGTAATTCTACGTTGAAGCATATCCCACACATGCTCAATCGGATTTAGGTCCGGGGATTGTGCTGGCCATGGTAAAACTTCAATTCCCTCGTTGTCCAACCAGTTGGTTACAATACGTGCGGTATGTGGACGAGCATTATCATGCATTAGGTGAAAGTTTTTACCAACAGCGCCTGCAAATGGATGCACGATGGGTTGAAGAATAGTATCCAGATATAGCTGAGCTGTTAGGAAGCGATTTGGAAAAACGAGCTCGGTTCTGCCGCCTATAATTATTTCGCCCCATACCATTATCGTACCACCTCTGTATGTGTGCACTTCCTGAACATGTCTTAAACGTTCCACATTTCCAGATCGTCTCCACACTCTTGTTCGACGAGAATCTGGATGAAATCCAAACCTGGATTCGTCTGTAAATAAAACTGTATCCCAATCATTTTCAACCCAATTTTGATAATGTTGACACGTCGAGTCTTGCAGCGCGATTGCCTCTCGAAAGAGGTGGACATCTAAGTGGTCGTCGTCAAGACGATTTCTCACAGTATCTCGGCCAATGGTTACGTTATCCGCCCTTTGTAAAGCCGTAACCAATTTAAGTGCTGTAATTGTAAGTTGCCTTCTAGCCGTTAAGAGTAAAAATCTATCTTGAGCTGCAGTTGTTCAGCGACCACGTCCTGGATGTTGCTCTGCCGGACTACCAGTTTCCCTAAAACGGCTCCATAATCGACTGATAACACTTTGAGAAACACCCATCCGCTCAGCTACTTCAGTTTGCCGCATGCCAGCTTGAAGAAGGCCTACCGCTCGATTCATTTCGTCTAAAGTTAAATGTCGTCGTTCCATGGTAACACACAATATTTTAAATGCACCCACTAAATAAGAGCTTTATAGAATGATTTAATGCGAGACCAATTGAAGTGTAGGATTTTTACTTTTTTCATTTCTCGTGTTTATCAACTTTTTGTTATGTTTTTTAATTTTTTTTTTAAACAACAAATATTTTTATAGTAAGCAATATTATTAATACATATATTCCAAGTACAATTATAACTATACATAAATTAATTTTATCTCGTTTATAGTTTTATAAAAATATTCCTAGACTTTTCTGATGTGTGTAGTTACGTTAGTGTGTGTATTTTATCTAAGGGATCATGGTGAATTATTGTGTTTTTAATTGAAAATAAAAATCAAGAACTAAATCGTTGCATTTTCATGTTTTGCCAAAGGATTTAATTCGGTTTAGAAATATATCATTTATAATATTTATATTTAAGTTTGGCCATTTTTAAGAAATTATTAAAAAATAATTTTTGCACAAACATAACCTTAACATCAACCATTTTTATATTTGAGTTCTCTAAAAAACTCCGACAACTGCATTTTAAACTACGAATTCATGGCAACATAATAATATATATATAAAAATATATATATATATATATATATATATATATATACAACTCTTTCACACTAAAACCGAATATATCTATATATATATATGGGGCGTGGCCTCGCCTCCCTCCAACGCGCGACACAATAGCTAAGCAAATAGACTGCATCGCTAATAAGATTTTTTGCATTATTATCATTTAATTTTTTAAGTCCTCACCTGCTCGACCTTTCGTCATGTCGTTTATCACACAAGCTACTGTGACGCGCCTTGGAGGGAGGCGAGGCCACGCCCCATATATATATAGATATATTCGGTTTAAGTGTGAAAGAGCTGTATAATACATAATATAATGGTATTTTACCGTTGAGTGGAGACTTTAAAGAATTCTTAATCAACGCTTTCAATAATGCTAAATGCTGTTTAAATTTAGACGACTTATTTGTTTGACGATTTTTACTGAATTGAAATGTTTACACTGTTCACGTTAATCATTACTAAAATGTGTATTTATTGTATCTAATAGGTACAAATTATATTTTCAGACACTGTATGAAATTTATTTCTTCATTCGGATTAACACTGTTTATTGGAAAACCCATAAAAACTCAACCCAGGATTTCCTCTAGAAATACACCCAACAACACAACAAATCGTGCCACGGATTTTTTCCGATATTTTTTTAACATTTTCCGGCTTTATTTCCAAAAACACTCGTTTGTAACACACGCGTTTGACAGCTGATTATCAAAAGTTGTACTTTTGAAACGATGATAACAGCTGAGTGGTGGCGCTACTAGCGATACTTCTTAAGCGTATTGAAGCATTTTAAAAATATTTTTTGCATTGTCATTCTGCCAACGTTTTGTATCATGACTCTATCCTTTGGTTATATATCTCACCCTGCACATGGCTTAGACACCCACTAGATTTATGGGGGTGGATTTAACGGTTCTAGACCCCTATTTTTAAATTGCCCAAGGCTTAAAGCGACCACTACTGATTTTTCCATCCTTTAAAATCTACTTTACTTAGCGAAAATCGACCAAATTCACCATTAGGATTCGACTAACCAATCAGTTATTGTTACAAGACTCTCCCCTTACGTCACGAAAACATTTTTAATAATTCACCAGACTCGATTCAATCTGATTTATTGTAACTTAAATAACTTTTTACAAATGAAAAACCCGTACATATTACCTGAACTCCCCAAATACCAAATCCAATTTAGCATTCGAGTGGAAACATGTCGAAAAACCGCCCCTAAATTATCCGGAATTTTGCTAACCCACCCATAATGATTTAGTTCGAAATGGAATTAAAATGTCCAACAGGAGTTTTCACTACACAGTAAAAAATTTTGCACGTGTAAATTTTTTAGGGTAGGGTTAAAAATATTAGAGTTGATTTGTAAGTGTAAAAGTACAAGTACAAAATACACTAAGTAGCATTTAGTGCTTATTAACTTTATTAAACACATTTAAAGAATATGAACATTATTCATTGGTACATTCACACTATTTATTATTAAAATAAATCAAAAGGGTAGAAAAACTTAATGCGAGTATTTATTACCCCTTAATGTGTTAAATAGTGACAAAATGTACACTACAGTGCATGCCAATTTCTTTGTCTGATTTGATGTTACTAAGAGGTCTTTATTCTTGGAAGTGTGGCATTTTTGTTCAGTTAGATTTTAATTACGGTGAATCCATAAGAGGACATTCTTATTTTTTGGTAAGTATTATACTTCCTTTGTCTTTAAGAATTAATACTCAATAAATACCAATATGTTAAAAGGATGTCCATACCCGACCTATATTATATATCAATAATTTACGGCAGTGGGTCGGGTACTTGTAACATTAATAATATAAATACATACATACTTGATTTACTTTTTATTTTCAAGCGTAATGGTTGTTATATTAACCTATACCTACATTTTTATTAATATTATGGAAAATTTGTACACGTGTGGTAAATCCCCGACATTCAGCCGCCTGACGCCTCTCTACCAATAGGATCACCCATTTTTTATAACAGAAAAATTGATTACTGATGAATTCTCAAAATAATTCATTGCTTACAAGTTGACAGCCAGTAAAACATTGCATTGATCTAAAACTTCAACGTTTTAAGGAACCACTTTGCTTAAGCCAGCCATACAACTCAAATATAAAATTATATTTTAAAAGGCACCGATTTTGATAATTGTCATAGATTTTTGTTCCAAATAAATGTTTCTCTTTATTTACCTTTTCGTTTTATTCACTACCACCAATAGGTTTTACTCAAATAATACTAGTGTTAATTTACACTAGAAGTTTGCACTAAAATAGTAAAAGAACCTTTCTAAAATTAGAACTTTTCCAAAGTAGTGTTAATTTACACCGAACAAAAGTGGGATTTTACCCAGGAAGTGTAGAAGTACACGATTTTAGGTAAATTAACACTTTTTAATACAGTGTAAAATTACTTTATCCTCAGTGCTATAGTGTTAAATCATACTTGCTTACTTGGGGAAAATTACACTACAAATTAACTCTAATTGTAGTGTTACAAAACAACACTATTTAGTGTGGACCTGTGTGAACTCTAATTAGTGTTGCTTAGAGTTGATTTTTTTACTGTGTAACTGTATCAACCATAACTTAATTTGGTCCTTATGACCATGAAGTTATCTTTTAAAAGTTTAAAAAACTGTTTTTGTAAGGTTTAAAATAAGTATTTTTAATCTATAGTTTTCATATCAATTGACAAAACAGACTCCAACCTCGATGTGGTGAAATTATGCAAGACATTTTTATCACCGTTCTGAACGTTCATCAATCGCTCTTGCATTAGAAACTTTCATTAGTTATGAAATGAATGGTAGTGTCTATCGGCACACCTTTACTAACTAACGCACTCACCAATAATAAAAATAAATACAATGCCGTAAATCAAGTTTTAATTAACAAAGAAACAATTATATAAATTTAATTGCTCAAAAAACGTTCTCAGTGTCTGGTTAATATTAAATTATTCAGGATTTAATTAATTTGGGAGTGTGCTTGAAATATAAATCAGAAATAAAATAGGAGTAAATATTTGTCTTTATAATCCTTATTATTCTAAAACAAGCAATAAGATAAAGGATTAAAAAACCGAAAATATATAAAATTAATGTAAATTAGGGACTGATTCTCATATATCAATCACTGATATCGCAAATAACTGATCAACGTCAATCAAAAGACATAAATAAATGCTTTGATATACGTTGTTTACATGATAAACATGTTTTTAGTAAAAACTTTTTACCATAATAAGGGTGTTTTAATAAGTCATGTATTTAAATTTAGTACTTATATTTACAGTTTATAATACTAAAAATTTGGCCCAGTATTACTATTTCCTTGGGGATTAATTGTTTAAAGTAATGATCCCTTAACTTAACTTTTTTAATTCAGAATACATACCTATCCATATATAATTTTAATTTATATTAAAATTGTTCACAATACATCAATAAATATGTGCTATTCAATACTAAAAGTTTGGGAATGATTACCAAACACTATTGAAGGGAAATCCGCAATATTATTTTTCTATGCATGTTTTATGTCATTTTATGTCATTTACTAATTAATTTAAATATTTGTTTAGAGCGTCATCTATATAAAAATAGCATACCAAAATTGGAGTAAGGAATCTGTTTTACCGGCTTTTAAAATGTCTGATCATTTTGTCAAATTTTTCTGTAAAAATCGAAATTTCTCTCTTAAAAATGGACTAACAACCGTTTAAATGAAAGTTTGCTGCCGGCGAAATTAAAAGGTTAGTACAAAGGTGCATAATATTATGGGCATTTGTTTTCTACAAAACGGCGTCCCCACTGCATTTTATTTTTGAACGGTAATAAGAGATATAATTTCCTAAAGTTTCTTTATACTAGGGGACTCTTCAGTAACTTTTTCTGTAACTTAAAATTGGCAAGTTTATGTTAAAATGTCATCAATATTATTTTATTAATTTTTTTAAATATTAATCTTTATCAATTTATTTTTTGTTAATAAAAAAGAAAAATCTTAAATAGTTTTTATTAAATTTTATTAAAATTAAAGCTGTCCCCAACATTCTTTGTAGTTCTATGAAAAAGTGTCAGATGGCGCCCGTGATGAAAGTACTTAATTGTCTATTGTTTAAAAGAATCATTTGCTTTTGTTAAAGAAAGAGGCTGGTTTTTTAAAAAAAACCTGAAAAATTTATGTAATATTTACATATTTAGGTTCATATTTACAATTTGTATTTCCTGCCCATAACAAAATTTATGTTTATGTATGAAAAACTTTGTTGATTTGAAATAGTATACTATTTAAAATTAACAAAGTTTTTTATACATAAAAAAATACATAAAAAAACAAAAAAAAATGCAAAATAAAAATAAATTTGTCCCTTCTGTCAGTAATATATTAACATTTCCTAGACTGCATAAATTTACAGTCTAGGAAATGTTGTTAATATATCACTGACAGAAGGGACAAATTTATTTTTATTTTGCATTTTTTTTTGTATTTTTAATATAAAATAGGCTGCAAATCAATTTTTTTTTTAAAATATAAGGTTCAAAATAATTTTTAAGAGGTTTTAAAGTGAAAACAACAAAAAACAATTTTGCCCAGAGGCTGACATTTAATAATATTTATAATTTCTTAACATGAGTTTGTAGTTTGTTTAATTTCATGTTGTAAAATTTTAAAATATTTTTTTGTATAAAATCAGGCTTTGTAATTATTTTAACAAAGGAAAGTATTTTACCGCAAGTTTTGTAAAGGTAATATGCAATTTTGTAAGCGTTTCGTTAATGTCAAAGGTTACAGATTATTTTGTTAATGTGGAGTGCTCATAAAACATTCTCTTCACTTTTACTGTTGAAAACTGCTTCTATATCGGTTTTAAACGGTTATTAGTCCATCTTCAAGGGTCGCACTTCGATTTACACAGAAAAATGTGACATTTGCCGCCGGTAATACAGATTCCCATTCTTATGGGTACTCTATTTTTGTATAGATGTTGCTCTATAGAGCAAATATTTAATTAAAATCATTTTTAGATAATAATAAGTATTTGTCGTACTCTCTAAAAATGAATTAATCAAAAATGACTAATTTAATAGTTATTAGTGGCTGCTTTTTCACTAATATCATGGTTAACCATGGAATACCACGGTATCCCAAAATTTAACAGCCAACTCTTATGTAAAATTGTCCCCTGAATCCGAAAATACCGTGGAGCAGTTTTTGAGATTTAGTCAATTCCATATTAAATGGAAAATCGACTATATCTCAAAAACTGTTCTACTTTTAACTTTTGGCGACATTTTCGGATTCATGGGACAATGTTACATAAGAATTGGCTGTTATATTTTGGGATACCATGGTACAAGTGAAAATTAGTAATTTTTGACTAATTCATTTTTAGAGAGTAGAAAATAGTATATTATGTATCAAGTTTGATAAACGCCATTTTATACACGAATTTAATTTAAGCACGAGCGAGCTTGCGAGCGAGTGCTTAAGTTAATGAATGTATAGAAAAGTTTATAAACGAGGTGCATACCTATAGGTATATATACTTTTTCTACGACAAATACTTATTATTATCTTAAAATGATTTAAATCAAAAATTAGTATAAAGCGCCATCTATGAAACAACAGGGGAAACTGTCAAATGTCACATTTTTACATTTTATAAACACAATTATAAAGGTTATAAATCGAAATATATCTTAAAAATTGACAGTTTTTCACAGTGAAAGTAAAGGAAATGTTTTATGAGGACTTTACAGTCCGTGCCCGAATTTAAGTTATAGTTTACTGCCGGCGAAATTAAAAGGTCAGTACAATGTTCATATAAACTTTTC